CTCTCCTTACGGTAAGGCGTTTCTTTCACTTACTCGGGAAACCGATAACTGACCAGTCACGCCGTGTGGAGGGATTATCTGGGGAAAGGCCTTTTTAGTCAGTTTCGTGGGTATTTCTTTTGGAATCTTCGTAGCAGTTCATCATTGTAGGGGCACGAAGTAGTCCTCAGCGAAACTTGAACAGGCCACCTTGTGAAGACTTGTAAACTCCTGTAAGCCAAGTGGCTCACTTGTAGCATTTCGCGGCCGTACAAGTGTTCACAAGTCTGTTGAATAGAATAAACGAAAGGATCTAGGGAGTGTGCTGAATTCCCCATCCCTCCTCCTAGGCCTAATATCTCCGGATCTCCTAATGAGAGGGAACAAAAAGTGACCTAATATTTGGGGAAAAACTCGCTCTGGTATCATGGATTAATTGCCTTGATGACTTTAGTCACGCCAATACCCTCCTCCGCACCCCCTCCCCGCCCCCTCCCAAACTTTTCTGAACGACCCATTCCATGATGAACAGAGGGCGGAGGATCACAACCACCAGGCCTGACTTAGCAGTAGACCTCTCCTCTTTAACGTGTTGGAGCGAGGAGGTGAGGAAAGCACAGTCATTGTGAATCTCCGCCCAGTTCCCCGCCCACGAGGCTGCTGTGAAGTGCGTCCAAGTTTTCAATTCTGTTCCATAGACTTAATCCTCTACTTTTTCTCGATTTACAGTCACTTACCCCGCGACGATTCCGCCTTCTGTAGAAATAACTACCACGGAATCGGCTCTTCAGGTACTATCCCTCTTAATTCCAAATTTTCTCTGTTTTCTGTTTGGTTCCAATGAATCTACGTTTTTTAGGAAAGCTCATCATTTCATATATCAATCGGCTATACATATTGGCTTCTAGAGGTCATTTTTATACTAATTCTATCCATATTCAGTTTATAGTCCAGCGTATATTTTTCCTTCTCACTAATTATGGCCAAGTTATCTGACATTCTAATCGCGGCGCATTCCCACAGGTCTCATTATGAAGCGCATTATTTAGCTCACTGATTGTAATGGCCTGTATTTTAGCATTCCTTATTGAGATAACCTATTGAATGTATAAATACCTACTCGTACTAAAAGTTAATAAATATTTTACTGCGTTGTTTTAGTCGTACAGTCGCCGCGCAGCTTTGACGACCCACCAATTCGCTCAGCATTCGACCACATTCCCTACTCTTAACCAGCTATGTCAAATGAATGCTTTTGAAAATACGGCTTTTCTTAGTCTGATAAGTAAATACAGCGATAGAATGGCTCCAAGAAAACCAGAGGGTCGAAGTGCACTCGAGTAGAAGAGCCGTAGAGAGCTTAATACGCTTTACATCGCGAGTTCGAGCAATTCGATCTAAAAACTTGAAGTAGTGCATGCGCTCTAACCGTTAACTGTTGACCAACTGCAGCAGACCAGAAGTTTTTCTTCCAAGCAAGATCAATCAGCTGCTGATGGAGGCTGTGAAAGCGATTAGCAGTGAGCGCAGTGCGGTCGGAAGACGATTTCAATATGCCTTGTGCGACTTGATCGTTCGAATCGCGAAGCCGTGCGCAAGTTCTCCCGCGTCTTCCTAGCGCTTCTGGAACGAATGGCGGCTCGTCCTGAGTTTGGAAGAGGGGCGCAGGGTTTCGAAGCTGTGACGCACTCCCCATTTGATTTTAAGTTATGGCACGCTATGACTTCGTAACTGGATCAATCATTCAATAAATACAAAACTCCAGGCAAAAAGCAAAAAATACAGAATTTCGGGAGCGCGTGAAGTTTTCCCCTGCCCCCTTCTATACCCAGCGCTGACAACCTCACACCCCGCGTGAAAAGGTCCAGAGCAGTACGGTGTCGCCAGCCCTACTGTCCATGACACTGTCTGTGGAGATAATTAGCCAAACGAGTCTATTTTTGGAATCTTGATCTTCAAAAAAAAGTCTTTAAGAGGGCTTTTTGTTTCCTGGCAAGCCAATGACAAGCCCGGAGGAGAGCGCGCGCGGAAACTCCAGTGCACGGGGCGCATTTCACACCTACTCGTTGGCATACAAGGCGAGGCTATTTTTCGCCTAGCTTACTTAATTGAACGCAGAAGGGCCGGTAGATCAGCTGAAGGTGATACCCTTCTGCGTTTCTTTTTTGTTAAGCTGGCGCAAGAATAGTCGCCTTGGATACGCTGTCAAGCAGTTGAAGATCCGTAGTACTCAGCTCCAGCCTACGACCGCGTTCAGATACTTCGCGATCAGCAATCTGAACTCGTTCTAAGCACGTTAATAAGAAAAGGACTTTACCAGTATCCCTAGTGACGTAATGACGTCATCACCTTGCAATATCACGACAGCAACATGTCATCTGCCTCTTTATTAACTAGCCCACTTCACTGCGCACCTGCGCTACAACTGCTCTCATTATTGCCATCGATCTTGTACATGCTACTGTACGCAATAATTCCATCAAATTTTATCTTCTGAACTCAAAACTACTATAAAATTAATCCAAAAGAGAAGCGAGATGATCTGTTTCGATGAGAACTGTTGTAAATATATATTCAACGTTGTTAGACACTACTTTAAACAAAGATTGGGCTTGAAGAACATACATTAATGCCACCACAGTAGCGTCTAACTTAACTTGAAACCGTATAGCGCACATGGAAATCTATGTAATATGACGCAGCTGAGAACAAGAAAAAAAACACTGTTCCCCACACCGACGTCTATTAGAGCTAACATCATGGTAATAATATGATACTAGTACCCCAATTAACAAATAATACAACGAAAACAACACGCCATTTAACAAGCATTCAAGCGAACATTAACAAGATGTGACTACCAATATTAATTAGACGATTGATGAACATCAAATCTGATAACACATCGGTTCGAGGTTGGGGTACGTAACAGATAAACACTGGAAATAAGTTAAAAAAAATCTGACTTCACAAAGACGGGGCGACATCCTTTCGACGTTTTTCACGTTCTTGTTGCGTTGGGGGTGGTGGCGTTCCTTTACGGTGCAATACTTCAATGTACTCGTCCAAAATACGATCACGTTCTGATGCGTGATTCTCCGACATGCGCATCCAACGCTTATCATTCTGAAAGCAAGGATCTTGAGGTGCAAGACTGAAGGCGTCTGATTCAAATAAGAAAGAAACAAACCTCCAGAACAGCAAGAATATCCTTCAAATGTTGCTCATTCTCCTCAATCATACGTTTACTCTTGTAAGTGATAATCTTCGTCTCTTTGAGGAGATCTTTAAATTCGCGGACGGCATTGTCATGCCGCATCTCCTGCCAATCTCTGTAGTCGCGTTCCACTTTCTGCAAACATAAGTGGATCACAAAAGCTCAATAGAGAGCGATAGCGACAGCAAAGAAGGGATAGTTCATTCTACGACAGAGTATATAGTTAAAGTTGAAAATAGTGCTGCATACTGATATTAATGCTCTGTTGTTCTGCATTGCATTCATGTGAAGTTGTTCACACCCTATGTATGTATGGATTAATGTGCCCGTAGAAGAATTATTGCGCCACTCAAGCCCCATATATCTCACCCATTTGAATTTCTCGATACTCATTTTCTAGGCTCACTCTATGTAAAGTCGTAATTGTAGGTAAACAGGCGGTCTTGGTGCTATTCTCGACGGTTTCTTTCGTTTTTCTCATCAGAAGTGTGAAACCAAGACGAAAAGAAACCACTAATAAAGAACTGGTCTCTTTTCGTCTTGGCTTCACAAGAGATAAATGCAGTTGTCTTTTCTTGGTTTGTAAACAGTGTTGCAAAGCAATATTATACTGTACTTTTTTTCTGTTTTGCATTGTTATAAAGTTGCTTCTCACATCGTATGTATCGATTAACGAGTGATAGAGTTCCCGCTGGAATTGAGCGCCATCAGGTATCTCACCCGATGGTATTTCTCAATATACTGTTTCTTTAAACTTATCACTATACAAGGTCGTGATTTTTTATAAGCAATCAGTTTTAGTGCTCTTCTAGACGGCGTCCCAAAATGTGGGTTGCCATATTCTCGCAAAAAAAAACGAACGAATCATGTAATAAAGGAGAAATATTTTGTAAGCACGTTCCTCCCAAGAGAGGCTATGAAATCAGTTTGTTTTGATTTCGTTGCTGTAAAAATGTTTCTAGTGCTGTCTTGTCACTCAGCCATCGTATGCAGGCGATTAACTTGCAGTAGTTGATTAAAGGTGTCTGAAAACTTGAGAAAATCTCACACTTTTAGTTTGAAGAAGTGTGGGCGAGGCGAATGGCGTGTTGCCTTAACCTAAGCGCCTTATGCAGAAAGGAAAATGTTTGTAAGATTCAATCTATTGCGTTGGTCTTCTGACCCTGGCTGGTATCACGGTCACCTGAATAACTGGCGAGTAAGACACGAATCGCGCCTACACCTTTTGTTCATCTCAGCCATTTTCTGGCTGCTTCTCTTTTGGTCAATATGAGCCGAAAAAATGGGGCACATGAAAAGGGGTAAGACAAATAGACCCCGATTTCTTGTACTCATCGAATACTCTCATTTTCACTCCAGTTCCGACGCAAAGTAACACCCGCCCCGAAAGTTGAAGAAAGTGGGCTAGACAATGTTCCAACATAACGCTACAATCCTATCTCTGCGCTACGTGCTGTTTATGAAGGGGTTTAAATGAAGCTATTTAAATACCTCAGTATGTTTTCCGTGGACAACCTTAATAGTTCCATCGCACTATTTGAAGGTCGCGCCAGATATCTCACCCAATTGTATTTCTGAAATACTCTTCTTCTCGTAGATTCACGCCTATGAGGTTCGATGTTCTCTGTAACATCTATAGTCTTACCGAGTGTAAAGGTCAACAGGTCACGTCTGGCCATTTCCCGATTGAGTTTCTGCAGGCATCACCGTTGTACGCGCCCTTGGGACATGTGAATTCGAATCTACCTCAAAATTGCGGAACGATTCTCTGACGAATTATGACGGGTCCCTTATTCCGCTCGTTAATCGTTTCACATGCTATCGGCGAGGAAACGTGGAAGCGTCTTTACATTTACGTACTTTAGTCGTTTCATGAAACGTGGGTAGCAGTGCGCAACGGGTAGAGAGCGGTTTCTTAGGCGAGACGCCGTGAAGGGCATCGGTTTCGGGACAGAGTCGCCTTGTATTTGTCAAGAACATAGCCGACAAAACTTTCCAACATCTCCGCTCGCGCTGCACTACCATTATAAGGTGAAACCTGCGACCAGTTTTTTTTTCGAAAGCGTTAGACTCAGCTGCGAGCCATGAAAGAAAAGACTGCTGCTATGTACCCCTCGTAATTACGTGTCACACGGGTTTTTCAATGAAAATTACGCATGCAACACATAACTGTGAGGCGTGGTGTTAGATCCCCCTGGGACCGATTTCTAAGCCGAAATTCTGATACTTCGACCTTGGACTTGGAAAATGTGTGCTATATTCCAGCATGGTTAATTAGCAGCAGATTGACAGCTCAGCTAACCATGGATGACTGGTTTTCGCGAGTGGATTTCATCCGATAGTCTAAGAAAAATGATGCAACGGTGTCGCAAAAAGAAGACACGACTGAATAGTTGATTTAACGAGACCAGTCATCCCAAGTATGCTAGTCATAGTATCGCTGTTCGCTATCAGTTGCTCAGCCATGATTATCGCATATGCCCACCTTTGCGGAGATTGAGTCAGAACCTCAGACTTCGCTAAGGTGACGTCCCTAGGGGTTATTTGGCCCCCTGAACACGAATATGATACTTGTTTTGCGCGAAGAGCGCTGTGAATCGCGCTACATGTGCCAACGCTTCGGCACCAGCGCGCCCGTAAGAAGAATAACAGTAAAGAAAAACTTCTCTAACTTCGCTCAGAGAATCGTTCCGCAAATTTTGAAGATAGTTTTGAGTTCACCGTCTCAAGAAAGGTACAACGATGTGCATCTCATTGCAAATGCCCAGCCTGACCTGTTGACCTTCCCTGGTTAGCGCTACTCTCCGTGCGTGTACTTTCTACGTATTGAAGTCGAATAAAAAGTGAGTCTTCACTAGTATAACATATCCCTCGGAAAAAAGGGGATTACAACCGATAGACACGGGAGAAACTAGTTCCGACTCAAAAATCAGTGTCGCAGCTACTCCTTGTAGGAATTACCCGACAGATGAACCTCGATCCGCAGGAAATCCGAAAAAAATTTCCCCGATAGCGACGTGCCTTTTTGAAACGATCTTGAACTAATGACAATCCTTCTTAATTAAGAGGAAATGACCATTGTTACTCCTAGACGCAGATGTTTCATTATGCTGTACGCAGAGAAAGAGTGAAAGTGGAAGCAAACATACCCTTTCACTATTGCTCGCCACTTTGGAAAACGTCTCTTCTTCATCTTGAATGATACGACGCGCATCCTTCCATCGAGTTTGCGTTGTAATTTTTGGATGCTCGTCGAGCACAAGGAAGAAAGCGTCACGTCGTTTTTTCTCAAGACTTCTGAAATTCAAAGTTACAGAGGGGTTCGACTTAAATAGTGAAAAGGATGCCACATACTATCTGCACCGTCTTGGATAAAACCAGCACTGAACTACTTAATCGAGCCTTTAACCCACCGCACGTGCTCGTTGAAAGCGTTCTCTTTCTTCTCCTTATCCAGCAAGTCACACTCTGCATATCGTTCATCTTTTCTGCAGAACTCGTCTGGCTTCATGCCAAGTGGCCTCTGCAGATTTCACCTGAACCAAAGAATGTCATTTAAAAGAAAGCTGAAAAGAATCTCGTCTTCACCACTCACCATATCTACAAGAAGGGCATTAAAGCGCTCTTGGTGCTCCTGCAATCGACTGCCTTTCGCTTTCCAAATCACGTTCACGGAGCTTGTCGCCCAACTCTGCTTCCACCTTAATAGAAGGGGTTTCTAATGGGTACATAGCCCATAAACAACGGTTCAAATATATTTTAGAATAGAGAGCAATGGATGTTCACCTCTCGCTGTCTGGCTGCGATTGCTGCATCAGCTGCAAGACGTTTCTCCCGCTCAGCTTCCTCTTCAATATCCTAGAAACAAGTACGTACTGAGAAGAGGTTTCCGCGTTTCTTCTGGGTAAACTAGTGCATTCCATAAACGATCCAGAACGAATCAAAAAACCAACGAATAAAAAAAATCAGCTGAACTTCGGTTCCATAGCTAACAAAAAAAAAGTGAACCACAGCACATGCATTTATTCAAGGAAATAGACTCAACTCACCGATAAACTTTCGTCTCCGAGCTTCTCAACGTGATCGCGGAACATTTGTTCCCTTGATGAAGAACTCTCCACTGCTTTGTACCGTTCATCATTTTCTAGCAATTTTTTCGCCGTCGACCACTTTGTCTTTCGTGTGAAGCTCGTCTGCTCAGCAAGCATTGCAAGGTACTCCTTCTTGGCCTATAAAGGGAAGTTAAAAAAATAGAAAATATTAAGATCTCTCTATACACGAAAAATTTCAATTCTTGCCTTCTCTTTCTTCTCTCTTCGTTCCTCCTTCTCCTTTTTGTGCAGCTCACCAACAAATTCATTGAAGAGATCTTCACGATCACGCATTTTTTCAACTGCCTTGAAGCGCGGGTCCTTGCCAAACTTCGATCCAAACGACGAAAATGACGACCTATATGGTGAAATGAGATTAAAAACTTCTGAGAAAACATAAAAACCATCTGCTGGCAGATGGTAGGATTTAAGTTATTCATGGATGAAAACGAATCCAAAAACCCACTTTCCATGCAGTTCCGCTTCAGCGAGTAACTCTTGGAACTTTTCTTTGGCTTCTTTCATGCGGCGTTTCTTCTCAGCGCGTTCCTGTTCAAGCTTCTCACGCACGTACGCATCGAAGCACTGAATTAAAAACTTGTTCTTTTAAGCTTCCACAATTTTAATTTTGCCACGTGAAGTACTACAATGAACAGCCTTGAAACTTGGATGTTCGAAAGACTGATTCGGTCAACGTACCGCTCTCCGTTCCGTGGCGCTCAGTAACAAGTAGCGCGGGTCAAATACGATCTTCGATAGCTCTTTTTCAAACGTGCTACCTGTAGCAACGCCCTTCTCTCCAAGCATTGTTTTGAATTGTAGAAGACGTTCCTCCAGTGGTAACTGAACATCAAAATTAATTTTCACCTGGGAGGAGACAAATGCTGTCCAAGGTGTCAAACACCAACACGATTCAGTCACGTTTATGTCATGCCACGCCTTTTCGACACCTTAGGAAGAGTGTACACTCCATTTTCTTACTCGGGGGAGAACTTGGACTGTAAGGGCGAAAACAAGCAGATATAAGGCGGCAAATTCCCTTCTATGCAGATCCCTCAACCACCTTTGCGCCAAAATTTTCGAGACTTACCTTCTCACGATCACGCTGAGCTTGCAACTCGGCGGCTACGGCCGGATCGACAGGCTTCTCCAGCATCTGCCGAACAGGCTTTTCCTTAAATGTGATGCTCAGAAAAATTTTCCCATTTTTAATACAATTTCATAAGTGAGAAGAAGCAAAATGATTCCGACCTTTTCCTTCTTCTGTTGAGCCAACAGAGCTTCCTTTTTACGCTCCGATCGACTCTTCTTCTTCGGTGGTCCTTCACCATCATCATCCTCATCGGACCCAGAATCAGACTCACCACCCTCACCAGGTGGTTGCTCTGGCTCGTCTTCAAAGGTTTATATAATAGTACAATTGAAGACTCTCACACAAAAGCTTACTTTAATTCAAACCTTTCTTATTGCCAGGGGTTGAAAAGGAAAGCGAACCTTTCTTCACTTCTGGACATTTGCTTACAAGCAGATCAACATCAGCTCTTCCATACATTTCTGGAGGTCTTTCCCATACCGACGTCTTCGTTGAAGGATTATAGAAGAATACCTAAATAACAAATGTTACTATGTAGTACGAATAATTTAAAATAAAGGGATTCCATAGTCGATCTTACCTTTCCATCGCCAGTCCACACCACACACCATGCTGTACCACTCACTGGTGTGCTACTGATGGGACGCGTGTTGTCTTTCTTTTCCTCTTTCTTTGGTTGCTGATGTTGCTGTTGTTGTTGCTGGTTGGCTTGATTTCTGGCCTATAATAGAAAGGGAATATGAGAGTGGAGATGAAATGTTATACGAAATATCACAGGGCAAGTCAATCTTTGCGAATGATACTGCAAAGTAAAGAAACCGCTACATTCAGCCCTAACCATTTGCCAGAAGCATGTGCTACAGAAAATGAACTGATGCGGATAGCCGGAAGCATCTTGAATTCAAATTTTAGTAAGCGAAAACTTCTCGCTATGGCTATTTTTTGAGCTCTTCTTCGTGACAACCGGTAAGAAGAACTGTTTTCTGACGGCCTGGCGTTTCAACCTATCGTCATCCTCTGGCCCCATTCCACCACCGCATGAGCCGAAAGCAAATGGCTTAGTTTTTAGTAAGCCGGCGAAACCGACCGATCCTTCTTGTTCGTGTGAAGTAGGTCTTCCCCTCATAATTTCAGCAGGTGTGCCGATCGACTCATCTCCGCCGGCGAAAAGAAATTTCCGAACAATTTCGTACCTAATTGCTTCTTTAGTAAACAGTCGTTATATTTCTGTATGGACAATGTGTATCGGAAGACGGTATCGGATGTTTAGGGGATAAGTTGAAGTGAAAATCTGCATGCACAAATCACATAAATTTATCTGCCCAACCCCCTTGCTGAAGTGCTTTCATATTCACCATTCACCCGTTCACCATATCATTTCACCCGTTCTCTGGGTGCGTTTCGAAAGTTCTTCCCTGGGCACCATCCTTTTCGGCACACCCTCGTCCATTGTGAGCGGAGCTTAGATTGCCTTGATTGTGCTCTGTGAATATTAGCCACCCACATCCATCCCCATCCCAAACGTGGTCCGTTCCCTGAAAGTGATTTTCCGCGCAGCCCCAATAGCCGGGTTTTCGAGCGGACATACACATATTTTCTGGTTCATACATAGAGTGATGACCAGCAGAGCACACGCGTTCATGCGGTAGTTTACTAGGCCTCTGAGCCAACAATCACACTGATACGTTAGACCATCAACAAAGACTGCCTTCCAACTCGTTAACCCGAGAGAAAAGAAACAGATTTCAATTTTGATCATTTACACCGTTCAAGACCTACCCTAGAAAGCAGAGCTCTGTAGGAAATCTCAGGGCTACTTCGAAATGAATTATTCATGGACTGGTTTTAAAAACTGAATAACCTCACGGTGATGTACAGAAATTTTGAAGTCTTGGCATAATAGGAACTCGTTCTAAGGACAAGGAAAACCGCTATGATTATCTGACGAAAGTAGCTGAAATTCAACGGCTGTAGTACGCAAAGCTAGGAATGCGTCTCGTTTTCCGGTGATTTTTACAAATACCAAGGACAGTTAATTGCAAAGACACATTCCACGATGGCAAGTATGTGAGGAGGGGTTGAAATGAAAAATTACCAGCGCCTGTTCAGTTATAGAAAAGGAAGCACGAAATTCTTTACAAAACGCTATAGATTACCAGCTGCTTTCCAGTACTATACGAGAGTGCGGTGCATAGAGAGGCAGAGGCGCCTGACGGCTAGGGTAAGAAACCTGACAATCATAGAATGTGTCTCAGTGATTACGCAATCTAATTCGATCGAGCTGAAGGAAACTTCATGCGAAATTCCAATAACTATTCAAATAACCTCCATGAGGAAGCTGTAACCTGGAACCTAACCTGAAGTTACCGAAGCGAGTTCATGCTTCAAAGATGTGTTTTAGGGAGAGGTGCCTTGTCATATTTTGGGTTTTCTTCTGCTGATAATAGTACCTTCAAAATCCCATAGATAAGCATCATAAAAAGTGTGTTGAGACTCTTTCAGGTAACCAAACCATTGCGGAGTACTTGAAATTAGTTGCTCGATCAAAGACAAAGTGCGTTATTGCAAAGTTGTATAATAAGGTTGAAAAAAAGAAACATACTGGCAAACACCAGAGAAAAAAAAGGCAAACAGACCATCTAAAACCCCTCGAAGGAGAACCACTACGCTTCCAAGCATTATATACGAAGGGGACACACACACACCACCACCCACACGACGCCACACACACACTACAAAGCCACACACAGCACACGAAGAGGACGCCTATTGCGGTTTTGAAATGAAACAGAAAGGGAGGGGCTAGACCTCCGCGGGTGGAGTTCGACCCTATTTAAAAGCCTTTGACAGCCTTGCCAAAAGCGTTCGAGCTGCAAAAGAGATACAACCCGGCGACTGCGGACCGGACTACTTTGTGCAAGAAGAAAATTCTATATATCAGGTAATCGCTGCGCTGGCTGTGCCTTCATGCACTTAAACAATCATTAAGCTAAACCGAAAAAATGATAATATCCGCCAAAAGCAGTCCATTAATAATATTTCGCCCATCCATAGCAACTGGATTCGTTTTTAGATGGCATGCCAGCCATGCACAGCGGTGGCAGTCATGATCCACAAGGTGACCGCAAAACATTTCATAAGCAGCGAATGCGAGTCTAGCACGATCCGCTTCGAGTTCGGATCTAGCAGGTTCGCTAAAACTACCGACAAGGAAACAATATCGAAATCTAAACCAACCTGCGCTAAATATTCAGCCAACGCTGCTTGCGCTTTCGCTTGCGCCTCTGCAATCGCATCAAGCGGCATGCCCATTCCTCCCATTACTCCGACCGGGGCTACAGCTGTCGTTGCTGCTGCAACCGTTGTTGCAGCAATCGCTGCCGCTTGCGAATGTGCTATAGCAGCATTCTGCGCATCAGGCACTTTTCCTGCTGCAATGTGAAGATAGGTTAATTCACCTCTAACAATTATCTCACGGGGTTACCTTCTCTGTCGATCAGTACTTGTGGTTTATCCCATGTATTCTCTTGAGTAATCGCATTGAAGTAATATTTACGTCCATCGGGAGCAGTATACTCATTCCAAGCGTCATCTGGGTTGGTTGGCGGCATTGGTCGACCAGGTACAGGAAAGCCGGGAGGGAAGAAAGGCGGCGGCATGAAACCTAAAACAGCCGGGTGACATGGCCCACTCCAGTCCACAGCCTTCTTCGCTACGGATGCTGGGGCGTGCCAGACAGGCTGGATTCGGCACGGCAAGGCGCCAGCCCTTTTTCAACCAATCCTGGTCGCTTGCAGGCTTCCACAATAGGTAGATGGCGCACCAAACTCAGCCCCCTGACACGTTCCACAGCGAACAAGACTGCACCAGTGCAACCACCAAGTGAACAGATAATAAAATAACTGTGAATACTAACCTGTTGGTGGTCTCTGAGCAAATGCAGCGGCAGCGGCATTCTTTTGAGCCTCTGAAAACATGCTCTTCTTAGAATTTAATGATTCAGAGGGCCCTCACTGATTATGGAACAAAATTCGATGATCAGAAAGGAGGATGCTCATGACAATCGAAGAAGTGTGCAGTACGTCAGGTCTCCAACTACACAGGGTAGCTACATGTTTTCCTTGTGCTAATGCTTCTACATTAACTATTCCGATCATAACTCCACTTGTTTTAATTTGCCACCTAATTATAGCTATGCTTAGCTGTTATTATTGTCATATTATTTTGTTGTTCACATGTACAGCCCTACATATAACAAAATGGACATTACACTATTGCGCTAGCGACGAGCGCGAAGCGGAAGGAGAGCCCGGGAATCTTGTTGTGCACGCTCATGCCACTGTCCATCTGCCACAATCGACATCTCACATTGGCGACTTTAAGAATGGAGAATTAGCCATATACGCACATTTCACATTGCCTAACGCAACCGATTCATCATGTTGTTGTCTCTTTTAGTTTCTACGAGAAAACGTCACCCGATCGTGCTTTGGAAGGAATCCAAGTAAGGAACTGTACTAACAAGCAACAGTTGCAAGTGTTCTTGAGATCTCAAGCAAACTAAGCGAGTATCCGCAAAAGGTGGGACGGTTGTGAAAATCAATCAAAAAGTAGTTTGACAAAGTTTAAAAATGCGCTTGGGAGTCATAGGAATTGTCAAGGAATTTTAATTTCATCCCGAAAGCAGCACTTATTCGATGCATTTTAAGATAGACAGCTGAAAAAATAATGAGGCCCTTCCATATCCCGTGACCACAGTTCTTGGAAGGCGGGGCACAGCAGCCCAGATCCATGGTCCAGTCACCTGTCAAGATCAGGACAACCAGGTCGTACGTTGGAAATCCTCAGAAGGGTCGTATTTGATTGATGGAGGGAAGAGGAGGGTCGTAAAGGCATGGGATATTTTTCTCATTGTTGATTTTTCCCAGAAATCCTGGATCTTTCACGAACACGGCCACAGGAATGTATGAGTGGACCCGGATGCAAGTTCTACTCAGAACAACGATTGTCTGCAGAAGGTCCGGCATCACTTTTTTCAGATTTTTTACTGCTGCAGCTAACAGGTAACGAACCTGCGCTATATCTGCACCGGTGAAGAAATCCAATAGGGGGATTATCGGACCTTTTGCATACAACTATATTCTTATAATCTATAATTGCATTGATCGTATAGTCCACACATATGATCCTAGGTCCGTGCCCATAGAAGCCCCAGAATCTCCGGGAAAAATCAACAATGAGAAAACAATCACAAGCCACTTACGATCCTCGCCTACCCTCCATCGACTAATATGATCCCTGTTGGGGATTCGCAACGTACAACCTGATCGTCCCTATCTTAACTGGTAACAACTGGACCACGTACCTGTTCTACGTCTTCCTCTCTTCACCTTGCACCCTCCATTTAGTCTGTTTGCAGCCATGCCCTGTTCCTCTCATGATTACTGGTATTTCTTCCAGTCTTATTTTTGAGTTTTTCCCAACAAACCCCTAACAAGAGCTATACCATATGGACTCCTACCAAAGCACGAGTTTATTTGACGAATTCACTTCAGAAAGTCAAAAACCTTTCCACAGAGAACTCAACATTCGGTTGCATACAATGATGTTCTTTTTATGCGTTTTTATCATATTAGAATGGTATAACCTGCCAGCTTAGACCAGAGAATCATTCAGGAACCTTCTTCTTACAATCCTGTGTGTGCCGATGTGTTGTCCCGTCGAAGTGCGAAGTGTACACAATAGGGAGGGAAAAACGAAAACAAAACACCTGTCCATTTTATCACTAGACAAGAAAAGTTATCGCTATTTTACCTGCTCATCACTAACCTGACATTCCATCCAATATCCTGAAACTCCTACCGTATCACCCAAATACAGAGTCCAATATTTCAACATCGATTTCTTAGCGATAACGCTCGCCGACGATAATTATTCACATCTCTTATGACAGAGAGAACGAACACTTGTGCTGTGAGGGATTCAGAGGATGTGAAATGACGTCTAACATAGCTCAAAAGGCTTATTTCATGCGCCACCTTCTCCATACGATGGCTAACGAAACAAGGGTTTTCCAGGGAGGATCGAAAACGTGAAGCATAAAATCAGCCTGTGTTAGTGTTGTCCCTACTGATAGGAAAAGGGAAAAATGAAGCTCACCTTCCCGTTCCTTCCTCTCTTCCTCACTCGACTTTTGAATCAATTCAGCAAGTTCTGTTTGACCAACGACCTTAGCTTTTTCCGGACGATCCCACACAGTTTCACGTGTCTGCCAGTGGTAGAAGTATGGTTTTCCTTCTGGCGACTCGGCTTCCACCCATAACTCCTCGTCTTCTGCACAATTTGCAAGCTGAAAGGTGAAGAACTGGTTTTTGAAACCAGGAGGAGGACATTAGGAAGAGCTAGTGGACTATTATGTTTCTAAATTAACAGAAAGCGATTAACGTACCCTTTTCAGCCTCGTTGCTTGGTCAACCATAGCCGGTGTTTGAGTCTGTGTATGGGCCGGGGTTGGTGCTGAAGCCGATGTGGGTACTTGGCTCTGTGGAGGTCCCTGTGTCGGTGGAGGTCCCTGTGCCTGTGGAGGTCCCTGCGCCTGTGGAGGTCCCTGTGTCGGTGGAGGTCCCTGTGTCGGTGGAGGTCCCTGTGCCTGTGGAGGTCCCTGCGCCTGTGGAGCTCCTTGTGCCGGTGGAGGTCCCTGTGCCGGTGGAGCTCCCTGTGACTGTGCTGGAGGAGCATAGCCAGGGGGGAATCCTGGGGGAAACGCTCCTGGATATCCGCCGCGAAACGGTGGAAATCCGCCGCGTGGCGGAGGGAAACCACGACCGCGAAATGGTGGCGGTGCGAAGCCTCCACGAGCGGGTACTGGCCCAGGCGCAGCCGCAGGGGGCGTTCCTGCGGCCGGCGGAACAGCGCCACCTCGCATTGGTGGCATGACCGGTGGTCCTGAAATAGTGACAGTCACAAAATTATCAACATCGTGCTTCGTTCAGTTTCTTTGCAAACGGACTTAATATTTCATATGAGCAACACTTTCACTTTCTGAGCATGCACCTCTGGCATAAGCGAAAACGATTAGCGGCGTATCGATGGACTGCAATTCTATAGGCAAAAAAGTTAACATCGATTTGATCGCTCTTGCGTTTTGTGCAGCTGTTTTGACACGAATCCCCATTCATCGAAAGCTCCTTCTACCTTACCAGTTCAATTTGCTCAAAAATAGATGAAAACCTGAAAGAATCGGTCTGCAAAAGCCCACGAAAAAAGAATGGTCGCGTCAGTTGTAAAATAATTTGACGCCACACTGATGTTCTAACTACTGCGATTCCTGATAGGAGTCATCTTGGTTTTGCCACACTGCTTCTCTTATTTCGCTTTCGTTATTGCTGGTGCTATCGCAGTTAGGGGCAGCAGGGATTTTACCAACTTGAGAAACTTATCATGACCCATGGCAAAATATGTTCTAACACATCTGTCAATGCGACGCGTTCTTTGATTGCATGTCCCAACACGTGGGGGTTTTTCATACGTCTATGATGACTTCAGTGCGACTAGTGATACCTCAAACTGCGATAGCACCCCACAGAAGAACCTAATTGCCATTTGAACATGTTCGGACAGCGGGTGGCCGTGCCGCTCGTTCAAACTTATACTGGGTGCCACAAACACACATTTCCTTGGAATTATATATTCATTGATGTTTCCAGGTTTCCTGTCACCGAGTGCAGGGAAAAGATTTAGTTCATCGTCATCTAAGCCTTCAGTCTTGTAGTGGAATGCCGTGACTTTCTTTACTCCCACTTCATTCCTCCGACGCCAATCATTGCGTGGTTCGCTATTTCTTTAGAATTTTCACTTAAGTATTCTAGAAACTTACTTAAAAAAGAGAGCAAGGCTGTGAGTTTTTTGGTAGTACCATACATACCATACTCGTAATAGACATGAGAAATAGCTTCAGTGTGGAATTGAAGATCCGGGGTTATGCAATCACTTTTGCGGATGCTCCATGTATAGCTCTATTTCCTCCCAATCAAGCGATTACTCCTACAGGTGTTACATGCACTCATATTGCCTGACACGCCCAACTGTCCGCAGCGAACTAGAGTGTAATTCACGCTGACTCCCAAATCTCGCTTTCCCAAAAGCAGCGCCCCATTGGATGCACTGTCTTCAGAGATAATGACTATATGTTCCTACTTATAAGCACACATGGTAAGCTGGTCAGCCAATATTAAAGGCGAGTGGCCTAGTCGGAGGGGGGGGAGGGTACTTACGGCGCAACATTACGATTGCCATGATGGAGGGTTTTCACTAGAGTAGGGAGGGAAGAATCTCTGTAGTGGGTGGACCAAATCCTTAGTACAGAAAGGCGTTGCATAGCAATGATCCCAACAAGTCCTTCAAATGACTCCTCCCCCCCCCTCTCCACTCAACCGACTTGCGCTCACTAATACTAAATTGAAAGAACGACATTCAAACCTCCACGTCCGCGGAAAAATTGTGGCGGTGGCTGTTGCCCAGGAGGTGCTTGACCGTTGAACATTGGTGGTGGCATCACACCACCACGTCCTGGAGGAAATCCTCGGAAAGGTGGCCTGAAATGTGGCGCATAAAACAGAAAGTACAATTACAATTCATATTTGAGCAGAATCGGGTAAGTTTTCTCAACCTAAAAAATTGTAGCCGTGGTTGAGCTACATCAGCCATGTCGTACGCGAGTGATGACTTCGAATGAACCGCATTTGCACTCGCCCAACAAATTGATTGATCTTATCATTATCACCTATTCAACGCAACTAGAACGCTATCGCCGCCTCTCCCACCGTCAAAACATGTGAAACTTGGATGGCGCTTTCACTTACTACCCACCTTTCCTATCATAATGTTTTTGACCCTGGAGCATCGGAAATTACAGTCTACGATAAGGATTGTCGAAGCCTTGCTCGTTGTGGATGAAGAGGCGTATCGGACGGGATGGATCTGGTGCGTCTCCATACCCATTTTCCACCAGCTGTTGTCGATTGCCCCCCCCCCCAACATTGGTGAAGAAGGTGGCGCCGCGCCGAGCCGATTCCGCCTGACACGCCCCTCATCCAGCAAACGAGCCACCTTCTCCTCCATAAAAACACTGGAGCAGTGGCCTGTTTCAAAGAAAACAGAAATCTTACCGTGCCATTCCTCCTCCTCTTCCTCGAAATGCTTCTCCGGGTGGTCCTTGGTATCCATCTTCGAATCCTCCCCCGTAACCCTGGTCATAACTTTGTCCATCGTAACCAGACTGATCGTAATCCTCTCCTCCTCCATGTTCTCCCCAATCGCCTCCACCTTCGTGATTCGCTGAAAATTGAGTTTTTGCATAGAAATAACTTCCAATGACCCAAAAAACACACAAGTCACCTAATGTCCTGAAAAGACTCGATCCTACATCGTAGTTAAGTGCAAACATTGACTATGAGCTATTAATACGTGTTCCCTAATCTAAGTCCCGAAACCCTGACCTAATGTTCTATTCAGAGGTACTGTTTGGGACTGTCGGCTGGGCTGGATTCAGTAAATAAAGTCCACGGTGCGCCTCTTCTCACCGCGCTTGCTAGCTATGGCAGCGAGGCATCATTCTATGACGCATTATTCCATGACCATGACTAATTTGGCGTATCCATGAAGAGGTTTCATCACAGGTATCGATAGGTAGAATCGGCGAATGAGCGGGTGGAGCCGACGCCGCCACAAAAAAAGGAGTACGCATCGATTTCGCTGACTCCGCCCGAGTGAAGAGTAGAGGCTAAGCTGAGGACGCGTTCGTACTCTGCCACTGGGGAGATGCGGCAATTTGGGAGAGTCAGCGATTCGAGACCGCGCGATGAAGAAAGTAAAGGTACCGATCTGGCGACTGCGGAGATTGAGCGATCCTGTGCTTTAGGAAATCGCCGGGTCTCTCAAATCGCACAAGCGCTTAATCTCGACAGCCGCAAACTCGAGACCTATGTTTTCCTTCGGCCCAGTGTCCTAAATGCCGAGTCTCCCGAATCGCCGAATCCCCACGGTCGCAGAGTATGAACACGGCCTAACTTTTACCGGCTCGCTTCGCCGGTTCTACCGACCGATATGTACCCTTTTCGCGACGGCGCCAGCCTTGCCCTCTCGGTAGTCGCAGACTATGCACAGCTCCTGAAGCACGCTGGAGGAAGAGGGACGCGCCAGCGAACCGTTTACTGGCTCCGATCATCTGACAATCTCAACGGTGCCTTCTAACGTAAAAATTCAGATATTGACCACCCTCATGTGCGCTGCTACCTAATCTCCTGAAAAACTTAAAGCTGCATTCACAGTTCGCGACTATGAAGAATTCACTAGAGAACTCGAGATTGGCGACAAACCGGGCACTGCTATGGACCGGTTAAGAAGTGATTGACTCAGCCCGCAAGCTTTTTTTGAACCAGTCGAGAGAATCGGTGGTGGGTGGAATCGATCAATTCTCATCTAATCTGTTGTAGGGATTCTCCCATGAGTCGCGGATTCGCCACATTCGCAAAGTGTGAATGTCAAAACCTATTGTCCCACCACATTGTCATAAAAATTCAGTTATTAATTACTACGCGCACGTTCATGCTTTGCATCAGCGTTTCGAGTAAAAAGAAAGTATAGATATCGATCTAGCATTTCAACTATGTCCGCCAAAAGTCCAACACTACCTGCGAAACACTTACGCCGCTCATGCCATATCCATGCTTTAGTTGCTGAAAACGCTGATGCAAAGTATGAACGCAGCCTTACAACTACGTTACTTCATCCGACATGTTAAACCCCTGATAGCAAAATTTGTGCAGACAAAAATTCTGAAATGATTACATGCCGGACCCTAAACAGATTAACACTACAAGTAATTGACACCTGATTGAGAATGAACGTCACTGTGAAACGCTTCTTGGTCGTTGTACCCCGTAGTGACGTCATGCCCAACGTCCATCTGGGCGTGATCGCCAGCACCTGGCACGATATGGTCAGCTAGAAGAGAAGAGTTTCTATGTGAATAAAACTATGGATTGGCAATTCTCAGGTTTCAAACAACATACGCAATACACCCTAAATAATGAACAAAAAATCGCCAGTCCAAAGTATTGTAGACGTGAAAGAAGTGTGAAAGAAACGTGAAGAAAGCGACAAAACCAAAATATAGCGACATTTCTGGAAGATAATAACATGGTGTTAAATTCGCGGCGCAAATAACCTCAGAGGGGACACTCAAACCATGTTCAGACTTCGTGATCGCACCATTACGACCAGAGGCCGCCACAACGACTGAATTCAAGTTGGGCCGCGTTTACACACTGCCAATTTCAATTGTACCGTTTCGGTGGCGCACCATTTGGCGGTGCAGCGCCTCCGCCCGCGTAAGGCCGCGTTCATAGCTTGCGTTCGTGAAGAAATGCGGAAAATGCAGAAGTGCGGAAAGTGCAGAGAAGCAGCAGATACTTAGCGACTTGAAGAAATGCAGAAATGCAGAAGTGGCGCAAAGTGCAGAAAAGCATTACATGCGTATCGATGAAGAAATGCAGAAATGCCGAAAGTGAAGAAGTTTCTTCAAATCGCTACGTATCTCCTGCTTTTCGTCATTTCTGCAGATTCCGCACTTCTTCATTTCTGCATTTCTTCATCTGCAGATTCCGCAATTCTGCAATTTCGGCATTTCTACATTTCTTCAAATCGATACGTGTAATGCTTTTCGGGCTAATGCCGTTTGGGCTCCAGAATGCGCTCCGATCTCATTTCAAGAGTGGCAAAATCACCAAATCCACTAAAAGCTGAATGTAGGGGTGATTCAACATCATGATCACGAATATGACATTCATTTTTGGCGCTGGCGCTAATGGATGACACTACGGTTACCTGCGCTCTGGTAAGGCTGAATCCAGGAGGTAATCGTAGTGTCCTCTCTTGGCGCTAGCGACAAGAGTGAATGTCATATTCGTGATCAGGATGTTGAATTACCCCTATATACAAGTTTTTAGCGGATTTGGTAGCTTAGGCTATTTGAAAATGAGCTCGGAGCCGAAATTTCTAGAGTCCAAACGGCATTAGCCTGCTTTTCGTCATTTCTGCACATCCCGCGCTTCTGCAGAATCGGCATTTCTGCATTTATTCACGGTCGCAAGCTATGAACGCGGCCTAATGGCGCCATCACGAGGTCTTAACGTGGTCTCAGACGACTCGCTGTGCAGATGGAGGGGAAACCCAGGTCTACAGAGTTCTGTTGAGGGTGAACCGACATGGAGTGCGGTGCGAACTGGATGATCGTACTCTCATCGTAATCTGTCTAGTCTAATAAGACTAAAATATTACTCAGAGATACCTTCATATGCCCCACCCCAGGGTTATCAGCGCCATATTCACTTTCAGAGAGAGATTAAAAAGGCAAAGCCCTCACCTACTGGACCGTCCCCGCCATTGTGGTGATGATCTTCAAACTGACGGTGATCAAGATCTTCGTGATGATAACCGTCATTGCTCATAGTCATGCTGTGTGGATCACCGTAACTTTGATCTGAAAAGGTCGGGAGCGATAATTCAGATGTGTAGAACGACAGTCCCGTATAATGTCCGCTGAAGGGCTATGGGACTGAGGAACAAGCAATCCATTTTAGATAGAGGAAAATACCACTCTAAACTCCGTGATTTTTTTCTATTAATCTCGTCATAGTAAAGTAATATCACAGTTCGAGTTGTCAGTCTCCCGAAATTCATACAAACGTTGACCAGAATCATTTTTCATTCATACTTCGCGTTGTGGCGATTATCAGTCTGAACGGAGACCCTCTAGCATTGCATTGCGCTCAAATTCTGTCAGCGAGAATGCAGATAGTTGGTTAGCGATCGGCGCCGGGCGCTGGAGTTCTAGGAGGAGGGTATCAGACTCTGCGATTGGGCCTCGATACGTACGCTTTCTTCTATCCACACTTCGTCATTTTTTCAAAGTCATGAAGGCAGCCTAACAAAAATCAGTACTGCTGCTGCTACGAGGAATTTTCCCTGTGCGTTTCACCTGTAAATAAGTACGGCTCAAACCACAAAAGAAGGAGAAAAGCATAAGTATCGAACGGGATCCCTATCTGTTTATTAGGCCAAGAGTGTAGCCACTTCCCTTGTGCAGTTGACAAAAAAGGAAAATACGACAGCAGCACCAACGTGGCGTAGTAATCAATGGATGCGTGTTGACGTGCATTTTTTCATAGTGGCGCTGATATATTCTGCGCTAGCGTGACTGCTTTCAACGGTTAGTTCAAATATAGAAATTCTTGATAAAAGGGAAACAATAACACAACAATAACTAACCATATCCATCGCCCATGTGATCGTTATAATGCTTGTCTGTATCCATCGGCTGATGTTGGTGGCCCATATCATGGTGTGGGGGCATATTGTGATGGCCCATATCATGGTGGGGTGGCATGTTGTGATGGCCCATATCATGGTGTTGAGCCATGCTGTGATCGCCTCCGTTACTCTCGTAGTCCATACTAAGACAGTAGCGCCATATAATACATTTGTTCACGGTACAACGAAATAAAATTACGAACCAATGTCACGTAAATGCATAACACAGTACTAGATAATGGATGAATCTTTCAAAAATCTGAATATCTGAACGATGCAGTTCCTTGAACCGCATAATTTTAGGTGCTAACGTATTTGGGGGGGGGGACCACGCGGAGAGCGGGGAGTGATGACTCATCAGCTCTTCACTCATAGGCATACTTGATGCGCGAAACTAGCAGCCAAATTAGAATGAAACAAACAAGACTCACCGGGAACTTGCTGCGAAATCCCACAGAAGCTGAAAACAACAAATATTTGATCTTTCATAGTCAAGAATCAACAAAAAAGCAACAATTGTTCGTATTTTAGGCAAAAATTTCCAGCCTACAACTGTTTCTTCGCACTTTTCAGCCTTAACTGTTTTAGCTTTTGAATATAGCTAGGACGGTGTTATATCCATCCTAAACATGAAATTACTTCTTTTTTTTGCGAGGAGGGAGCAGAAGAGCGGATGAGTCATCGCTCGCCGCGTGGTCCCCCCAAATACGTTAGCACCTAATTTTAAACTGGATTTTGATAAAAATGAAAAACTGCAAAGAAACAGAAGCTGTAATCAAGCAGCTAATCTCACAGCTCTTCCTATCGTTCGATCGAGCGGTATTCTCATCAAAAGTCAATCCTTAAGAAGATATCTGAGTAATTGGAAAGTAGAAACCATAAAAGCCTTACGGAATGAAGAGCAAACCTTAATAACTCAAGAAGTACTACCTGAACCCAAAACCGGATCGCATTTTTTTGGAAACGCCGTTGACGACGAATGCGTCAATTGCCGCGCCAAAAATGCGTCAACACCCCTTAGCAACCGCAAGGCGCATTTGCGGCCAAGGACATCGCGTGAAGAATCTAGGGTGTCGACATTAGCCTTGGAAGGATTTTTGCCACTTACATTAGGCCGCGTTCATAGATGATGCAGAAATGCCGAACCACGGAATGTGCAGAACTGCGGAATTTGCAGTCGTGTGGAATCTGCAGAACCGCGGAACTTGCAGAAAAAGAAAAGGTGCTAACGAATTTGGGGACGGGGTTCGCGGCGACGCGATGACTCATCGACTCTTTCGGCTTCCTCCTCGGCAAATAAAGTAGCCTCCATGTTTAACATGTATATACACCATCCTAGTATAATGAGTTAACATTAGCGCTTGGAAAAAGTCGAAGAAACAGTTGTATGGGTGGAAGTTGCTTAAATACAAGTTGCTTGCACGTATCTTACTACAAAAGATCAACATTTGTTTTTCAGCTTACTGTGGAGTCACGCACTATTCGGTGAATTTGTTTGTTTTATTCTGATTTTGCTGCTAGTATAGCGCTATAAGTATTCAATGGAGCTGAACGAGCCTGATGAGTCACTCGCGCGCCCCGCGTGCCCCCCCCAAATACTTAGAACCGAGCCATCCCTATCGCTTCTTTGTCCGCAATTCCGCAATTTCTGCATTTCTGCGAATTCCGCGGAATTTGCCGTCGTGCGGAATCTGCAGAATCTGCAGATTCTGCATTTCCCCCAATTCGACAGGGAAGAACCAATCGATCCCTATCAATTCTTTGTCCAGTTCTGCATATTCCGCATTTCTGCATCATGTATGAACGTGGCCTTATCTCTCTTCAACAACTGGTGAAGAACTGGCTGGCGCCGTGCCAAACCCGTCCTCCCCCTGACATGTTCCAATATGCGCAGCGAGCAGGCCTTCACCCTTGTTACCTTTCTTTGTCCCCGCTTCGCATGCACTATATCTCTCCCGTTGGTGCCAACTTTTCAGAGAAAATAGGTACTTTTTAGGAAGTTCAGAGGTAGTTGGAACAAGGTAGGTTGGGAGGGGAGGGGGATTGAGTGACACTGCCAATTTACCCATCCTGATAGCCTGTGCGCGATGCAACTGGTCCATTGACCTTCGCTTTTCTTTGAACTTCTCTCCAGATGGCCCTAGCTTTTGACCCCATCTGTTGTGTACATAATAAATAGCCTTGGTTCTCTATCCTCAGTTACGCTCTATGAAGTCAGATTTCTGAGCGCTTTCCTTCGATGGAGAAATTTTGGGGAAATTTAGGTGAAAAAGGAGGGCAAATTGCGGAAGGGATAGCAAGGTGTAGTATTTTGCAGAAACTTCCCACAACGCAATAACGTACTCCCTACTTGATTAGCTTTAGCTTTCTGGGACACTCGTAGCAGTCAAGGCGAAAGAGTGGCATATACGGCTTACAACTAGAAAATAGATTATCAGGATTCATTTGCCGTGGGTACGTTAGTGGACAAATTATTCCAGGTAATCAAGTAAGGGCTTCATAGGAGGGGAAGAGGTGATTGAAGAGGTCACACAGGAAGCTGTCGTTCGACACGCTAAATTTCCCATCGCGTGCATGGGCGGCGATTACGGCTCGTCGTCAACGTCAAGCTGGAGTTGCGAAATTGGGCAGATGATATGGGTGGACACGAATCGATTTCACACATTTTCCGCTCAGGGGGGGGGGAAAGTGGGATTGGATCAGTTCACGTGCCGTCCTTCTCGGCGATTCTCCCAACTCAAAGGTTCTCCAAAACGATCCTTATACATTCCTTACTGCAGCCGTATCCTGAGCCAAAAAAAATTGCGCGAAAAAAAATAAGAAAATTGGGCACAAACTATTTTAGGGTTGAGAGATCAGCGGGCAATCTAAATGTGGACGCGGTCGGTGGCCTATGCATATCTGACTTATTGTTAGCTCGGAAAGTCCCCGTAATGCTTGGAGGGGGCACCTCGCTACAGCTGCAAATCCCAGCTAGGCAGTAGCACAAGCTTCGTCTAGAGACAGTTCCCGCAATAAAGTGTCATGCATAGTTGCTATACAATTACGAAACAGTAGCTGATAAGTAATTCCCCAAAGAAGAAAAAGCAGAAGAGTCCTCAAGAAACCATAGCAGGGCACAGCATTCGATGGGGAATTTTGCGTCGAGCCATGTACCGACCCGACCCTAGTTTTGGGGTTCGGTACGACCGCCGCCCCCCGCCCCACTTTTTAAAGCTGTTTGACGTTACAATACTTTTCCTCGTGCAGAATTAGATAAACAATTAGATCACTAAGAATAGTATGTATAAACAGTCCAACCTATGTTGAGTTTGATTTCTTTGTGCAAGCGTTTTTGTATCAAAACAAGATAAGATAGCATAAACCAAGCATGAAATGCGAGTTAAATGAGACTATCGACTAAAACGAAAAAACAAAAAGCGCATAACATAAAAAAACAAAAAAGAAACTGCGCTAAAAATGCATTAAACCTGCCGAGATGTGGAGTACGGTTAGCAGAAATGGCGTATGTAACTGCAGCCGTGACGCGAAGATTATTCGTCAATTTTAGCTACTGGAGCGCGCACTCTATCAGCAAGGTGGGGTGTCTTTGAAGGACCGATTAATTCCTCAAGAAGCGGGACCTGTGGTGAGAAAGAGGAGACCGTATTCGTGTAGAGGAAGGTTTGCGCTTTCCAAAAGTACCTGAAACTTTATGAAGTCGCAACAATCACAGAGAAATCTGCATAAAGGATTCGTCTGGGGAGTGATTTCAACTGAACAGGTTTTGAATCAAGTATATTTTTTTTTTTGTTAACTCAAGCATTTCACAATCTGAAAACGTTTCGCCCGCGTGTTTAAGATTCTTCTCTTTGGTAAAACCTTCTTGAGCTTATTTCTGAAGTTTCTCGAGATTCAATGAGATCTCGGCTATGGGGATTTCCTTGGGGAACACTCTCCAGCTGCGCGAAAACCCGTTCCTGTGTACGTTTCTAAGTGAGGACTGTGTTCGAATACCAGGAACGCATGTAGAACGTATGCCTGTGGTGATGCAGGAGCAGGATATGTTCGTTACGGCGCGATTCACGCACCAACTTTGGCATGCGCGTCGCGCACCCTGGGGCGCGCGCAGAGGTGATGACAGGATGGTGTGCAGCTTGTGCGTCATGTCTGTCACGGTCAACGAGCAGTTGTTGTTATATAGGATTCATAGGAGATCCATGGCTAACCTGTTGCATTTGTTTACAGTGTTTTCCCTTTGCGATGATGGATGATGGAGCGTATCTGCGTCGCGTCGCGCCAGATTGTGTGCTCCGCGCAATTTGCTTGTCTCCGTTATATAGGGTAGACGCAACTGCTGGAAGACGTCTGGCTATCGTAACGATATGGTCTCCTGTCGTTTGTGGAAAATATGCAGGTCTGTCTCAGTCGCGCAAAGCGTAATCGCGGACACTGTGCCGCATTCATCCGCTACGAACACGGAGGTGAGTTTGTTCGCTGTTTCATGTCATCAACGGACTTAACGAGATAATTGTCGCACTTATCATTAATAATAATTTCTAGTTATTTCGGATTTAATTGATGGTTGAAAGTTCTCTAAACTTTATTTCTTTATATTTACCATAGTCGATTCGCCTGTCTAAAACGCTGAGTCCTCTCCTGCCTATGGAGCCCTCGCCGTCAATGCATCTCGGCTCATTAGCTTGCTTGGTATTGTCTGTCTGTCTCTAATCAAATAATGTAGAAAACGCGCTTACCATATGGATCGCAGGGCACTTTGCTCATAATGAAAAGTTCAAATCTGGTCATTGGATATCGAATTACCTCTCGCTCCCCATCTCATGCCAGTGCATGGATGCCTTTGGTCTCCGAAGTCGCTGGCGATGCTCCTGTTCAGGCGAGCGTCGGCCGCGCTCATATGGTACGACCTTCTCACCTAACATCCCAAACTATCTCAGTATTCGCCGTGCTCAGCCCCCCTACGGTGCAAGTCTAATTGCTACGCGAATAGCCGTGCAATGGTTCCGAAGTGGCATACTAAATGGTTGTTTGTGTTTTGATGTGGGGGTGTTATGCTATCAAAACGCTACCACAATTTGGATAATGCAGACATTATCGGTTCGGTTCGCGATTGCGATGCGATCCATTTTCTTTCCATCCTTATCGGCAACCGTAGACGCCTACTGCCGCAGGCCTATGTGCTCCTAATCGCGAACATCGCCGTTTATCATCTGGTTATGCGCCCTCCACACATCATATCCCAGTGACCTATTTAACTGAGCCCACTGCACGTGGCATCAGACCGCCCACGTGAGCAGCTGGTGGGGGGGGCCAACATAGGACACTACGCCGGCCACTGTGTTTCTTACGGACCGCTTGCTCTTGTGCTCCCGTCAGCTCTCAAGGCGAGCAGCTCCTGCATAGCACGAGTCTATCACAGTGTGCTTAGATAGGGGAGCTATTCACAATCAAACCGGCTTCCTAGTTCGTCTGCTGTAACATGGATTAGCCTTGCAATTTTTGCTAGGGGTTTTCTTTCCTTCTGTCTTGCCCGCCTGCTCTCTATCCAAGGCGTACGCGTACGCATATACCTTACTGTAAGCCCAGTTGTGCCCGATTCAATCTATGCTTTTCCCCTGGCATGGGCTTCAGATTCCGACTGAGTAGCGCGCAAGGAAGTGATGATGGGAGAAGGGGTGTCATCGATATTAAACTTCCACCTTTCTCACCTCAACCATTCCGTACCTCGCCACCCACCCCCTCCACCCTCACTGCCATTGCACGCGCTACGTCTAAATGCACGCGAGCAACCCGTGCAGATGGTTCGGAGTTGTAGTGGTTTTCTTATATATGGAGAGTGTTATAACAACCAAGCAACTTCTTAGTTCGTTTACGGTTAACATGATGGCTTACGTTTGTTAGCTGGTTGTTTCCTCAATCCACTGGTGTGCGTTTTCTACTGAAAGCTATGCTACGTGGCTACGCCACTCACTGTACTCCAACAAGCTTATATTGTCAAAACGTACATTTCACGCCAGCGAAGTCAGTCGTCTCCCGTCGCGGTCATTGCGGGCTTGAAATGTGGATTCCTTTCAGATGTATTGACAATTAAGTTTTCTATTAGCAGAAGAATTAATTGTCAATATCATCTGACAGGAATCACATTCAATCGATTCAACGCACGGCCGCGCAATGACGCGACGACGAGACGACTGACTTCGCTGGCGTAAATGTACGTTTTGACACTTAAGTTCTTCTCTGTCTCCCCCCTACCCTGCTCCCCGCGCCCCCTTCGCTCTGCTCGCTCAATACATGTGTCAGCTCCGTCTGAGCACATGCAGGAGAAGGAGGCGGACGACCTGCACCCCCCCCCCTGCTCCGCACGAGCACACGTCCACGCTGCCACGGCAGCAGCTCGTGCAATGGCTCGAGTTGTCACCGAGTGGTTGTCTTTATATAATAAAAAAAACTGTTATCAGATCAAAACATTGGATTGATACATCTGCACCGATGGGTTCCGGTTTGGTAGGCGGTCGTTTCTTCTTTCACTACGTGTTTAATCCGGTTAAGCTTTTGCGGAACGACAGACATACAAACCGACATACTACATACTACTACCGTACAAACCGACCACAAAGTTTTCTTCTATTACAATTAATATCCCGAGTTTCTCTACAAAGCGAGTTCCGCTACTTGTGACTCAGCACACTGAGACTTTTGCGCTGCTCGATACTGGCTACCGCCCTCATTTGGACCCCCCCTCTCCTGGCGGCCAAATACGACCCCCCCCCCCTATGGGGATTCCTCAACCAATTATATGCACTGCAGCCATAGACATAATCGCGCGCTGACAGCACACAACGCCTCCGGTCTCTGTGGAAACGCCTGGCTCACAAATCGTTTTTCACATTTCTCTCAGGAGGCAGATATCATCCAATGCAAAGAGAATACGAAAAACAAAAAAAGACGGAAAACTCTTGACAAAGAAAAACCAAAAAATAAGGCGTACGAATTCTAGGGTATCTTTTAGTGCGTCGAACTTCTGCACCATGAAAATTGCATCGCTCGTACTTTTTCGAGGTTTTACGTTGCGAGATGAGTTGCAGTATTTGCCCTGATGAATAAGATGTAATAAAGGAGAGAAAATACTCATGCGTATGAGCGTGATCAGCAAAAAGGAGGTGCAGCGGTCGATGCCCACGCCCAAAAAGAACAACTGAACGGCGCGTTAGAACAAGAACTTTCAGCGGCTGTAGCACGCTCTCGTTCGCTAAGTCACAAAAGGGGACAGTCTCTTAGCTTGGGCTAGACAACTTGCACAAGGTAGAGGACCATTGAATTACTTAAGCGCGGAGGTCTTCAGGCCTGACGACACAACAGATCTAAGAGACAAGCAAATCAAACGGAACTAGTGAGTGCGCACAATGCCCTTCCCAAGACGAACAGCGCTGCTCAGAAAGTCATCTTTAATACATCCTACGAATACCAGTCTAGCGCTTACCATCACTGCGGCTGAATTTAGCACATCCGCTCCATTGACGTCACAGAGCATAATGACGTTCTTGAGATGGCATTGGCAATGGTACCTTAACAGTTTTTTTGTTATGTGACAGGTTATCTCGTAGTACTCAACGGATAATGATGAATCGTGCTACAATCTGCACTCATTGTTTTTCCGCCGCTGTGAGTTGTTCGTATCGCGTTACACTGGTAGTTATTCTGGTAACAGCCGATCTGCAAGTTCAAGGGAGTTTTCTGAGCAAGGAAGAAGCAAATCCCATCTAAAAGAATGTGCAAAATACACGTGGATTCAGCTACTTTATTGAAATCTATGAATAGAGAAGTATTTGCTAAACTTTATACACAAGATCATTCTTCAGTAACAAGTTATTCCATTCAAAACGTATCAATAACATTTATTACAATTATATTACATTCACCACACAATAAAGCCGAGTAAAACATATCACCAGTAATCGTCCTTGAGATGCCATTCCCTCTTTAACCTGTCGTAAATGACAACAGTTTTGACAGTATAGCACGGAACTGCACCCAGTCCTCCTTACATTCCTTCTGAAATTCAGATATACAACAAGTTTACACAGCCAACCAAACTTCTCCTTTCCTTAAATTTGACGATTTCCCGGAATAACTCTTTGTTTGCGTTCAGACTTCGCGACAACGCGCGTCTATTCGCTGCACTGCTGGGCGGGAACGCGGCCGTTAGACAGGTATCAATCAGCGCCGTTCCAGAGAGTAGAGAAGTAAAGAAAGGTACGCGTTGCCTGATTCAACAGTCTGGTGCCTCATATACTCCCATACTTCTTCACAAGCGCGGCCCGCGTTTTGATACCCTCGTCATCCGGTCAGTTGATTAGGGCGGTCGTCAACGGGCTGCAGCAGCGACCGCGTGCGTAGGAACTAATTGCTTATTCCGGCCTAATTTAGTCGTTTTTCCCTACTTCTCACTGTTTTTGGCTGCTCCAAGATTAGCAGTTCCTTGTCTTAACAAGGTAAATTATAATTGGAATTTTCATAACGTTTGCGAACAATTAAACGACTAAACAAACAATTAGACAAATGCTTGAAAAAAAACCGCGAAAAATACACCATTACGAGAGAAAATAAAAAGTTCACGAGTTTAAACTTCATATAGACAATAACATAAATAATCTTGAAAAAAATAGGAAATACGTGAAAATTAGGGAGGAAATTTAGGGTGGAAACAGCTGATCGCCGCGGTCGTGAAGCGCTGCAGCCGCGTCGCGACCCCTGGGGTCGGCTGATCAACTGCCCGGATGACGACAATACCTTCCCAAAGAAGCGTTCGCGTTTATAACACTGCAGCGCTGCTGCAATGGTAGCGCGTCGACGCGAGTGATCGCAAAGTCCAAGCTGCTTTAGAAGAACACTGCTGATTGGTCTTACCTTGAATTTCTTGTAAATTATTTCACTGAACACCTTGCCACCACAATTCACTACATAATCCCGAATCCTTTGAGTAAGAACCACATTTTTGTCCTTGAGGTGCACTTCCTGAAATCACAGTGAGAAGCTTAAAAGCAATTAGTACGATATGTTTAGGGACACATTCAAATCAAATAGGCGCAGACTCATAACAACGGCAGTGGTGAGCCTCTGGAGGCACAATGTTTATGAGACTCCGCCCATTCGTTTATCGCGGATGTTAGGAATGTGTCTCACCGACGATGTTCCCGCTTCGCTTGACTTTTGTTTCCTGCCGTGAATTGCAGCGAGCATAGATTCACCTGGTTCTTCGCCTTGGAAATGCCTTTTCTCGTGTAATCTAACCGTCGAACTTCCCTGCACTGAAGACTTATGAAACTTCGAGCGAAACTTTTGTACAAATGAGATGTTCGATCTGAAATATGATCTCTCATGCCCAAGACCCTTCTCAAATATACAAGAGAAAAATCAGACTTACCGCCTACAAATGGATTTGGCAGCTCGATTAGCGACCGCCTTCGCTTCATTCTCTACAAGGTAATCAGAAGGCTTCTCACCGACCAGGTCATCATGTTCCAGTGCACAACGAACTCCGGCCGACTTCAGAAGACATCCGAGCACATAGTTATCGTCCGCCTTCTCAATCGTTGACTTAGCGGATTTCGGTGACTGTTTACTCGATTCTGCCTTTGGCTCGGATGGGCCAGGTTTCACGTTCTCAACTCTCCAAAGCTTGCGCTTCTTCTTCTTTTTCTTCGAGGAGAGCGGTTTCTTTTGATCTTCGCCAATCCCTGGGGATCTTGCCATATGTTCCTCTTCCTCGATTTTGGCAATCGTTGCTTCCTTCACGTCGCCGTTACTACTCCGAGCAATGGGACATGGTTCACCCTGGTCCTTTCGATCGTCAGTAGCCATCTTTTCTCTGTTAGCTATGCTTGGAGATTCCGTCGGATCTTCCTGTTTGATAAACGCGGTGTTATCCGGCAGTTTGCTTGCATCATTTCCATACGACTCTGGCGTCGATGCCGATTTCTTCGGCCCTTCCTGGAGTCGGCTCAGTTTCCTGCATAAAAACTTGAACAGTGATTGATGTTTCGTAAAAAGCATGTATAGTTAAAAATCTATTGTTGGTTATTATCTTTATCGGAGGGCAAGAAGGATCGCCTCTGCCTACACGCCTCTCCTGCACATATGTCTCTGCCTCCCCTTCGTCTCCCGTTCTTCCAGCTAAATCCGTTGCTGCGCTCATATACAGACCGTATTTTGTGGAAGAATCAATTTCTCGAAGCTTCTATAAAGTGAGTGAGCTCCCCTCCCAAAAAAAGCACTGATTACAAACGCTCGCCAATGCCAGACTTCAGTTCGTGAAGGTGTACGGAAAACATAAGTTTCAGGTCGATAACCTCTCCTTACTACTGAATAGGACCTTCGTGGCTGCATTCAAGAAGATGTTACACTTGCGCGGTGCACAGAAAGGAAAAGATCTCTCGAGCCCCATCCTATAAATTCTAGAGAAACCAGAATCGAAGATTCGGCAGCTCGATCTTTCGCGAGAATGCCAGACAAATGAGTAGACTGAATTCGATTGATTTGTGCCGCTGGCGGCTTGGAAGAATAGGAGAGTAGAATCGACAATTCGGAACAGTGCGCGCTAGCGACCGGAGTCGATCGATCCCTATCTAATCCCTTGAAGCGCGTTTTCCGGAACCCCGGGCTGCCTACTCTTCTATTCCCCTCACAAAAAGCCTACTGGAAGTATGACCTCTCAGAGGGTTTCATTTTGTAAATTGATCAACTTCTGTCGCACTCAAAAGGAGGGTCTTTCAATAAATCCTTTACCTTGCTAGGAGCCTTGCACGCTCTCGAAGCTCAGCCTTCTTGTCATCGCTCAAACTAATAACTGCCGCGTTCTCACTGTCATGCTTTTCGTTGTTATGCTTCTGCTTCCTCCTGCTCATTGACTTTGCTCGATCACTTCTGCAAAAGACAAGTGAGGAACGGAAACTGGTTAACTCACCAATAGAGAAGCAAGTTACCCACTCTCTATTTTGAGAATCAAAGAAGTTCTCTTTACGAATTTCATCAGTTTCTCCAGCGAAAAGAGCACCAGTTTCAGTAGGACAATCTTTCTAAACGTGAAACCATTCGCTGAAAATCTACCGAAACCTTGAAAGGAGCTAGTGTAACCACTCACGCTAACTTCCGATAGAGAAAACAAATCGTGCAGGTCGTTGGTCTTGAAGAACTGACGTTGCCTTGGGTCTTTCAGAATCCGATTAGCAAGAAACTGCTTGAAAATTTGCCTGAAATGGGGTAAGGTAGGCGGTGCATGGCTAGTATGGCGCTAGTAACCAGTGATATAGAGAGACCGGGAGCAAAATCACCTATGGTAGACTTTTTCCTCAATGGTACCAGCTAGCATCAGTCTATAAATCGTTACAGGGCGCACTTGACCAATACGCCATGCTCTCTCTTTAGCTTGAGTATCAGTGGACGGGTTCCAGTCTGGATCAAAGATTACCACCTTAAATGAAGGAACTTGGAAGGCTCAGCTGAAATCTTTAGAACATAACAGTTCTTGGAACCACAGAATCGTGGACATTTTGACTTAAGATGAAATTCGATACCCGAGAAAACGGAAAGCGGGAAGGCAAAAGTTAGGCGCCTAATGGCTTGTGCCACCTTCCGCTTCCGTTCGGGCTTCGCTCTGTCAGGACGTACCTTATTAGCAGCCGTCAAATTGATGCCCAGTCCGCCAACTCTTGTAGTCAACAGAAAGACAAAAATGTTCGGATCCTAAAAGTGAGGAACTATCTTCAACAGTCTCAAACATGGCAATCTGAAATTTATGGGATTGGCCAAGACAATCGTAATTTGCCGCTCAGTGTGCGCGGCGATGGACGCGGCGTTCTCATAACTTGCAATACGAATAGAGCACCAGATTTTGCATGACTACGACATCATAGACTTCGCGGCTAGTTGTGGTTTACGTTGTCTACCAGCGCCATCCACCACCTAAAAAAATCGTCATTGCGGGCATAACGTCGCACGCGAGCAGGCGGATTGCGATTTTCTTGTCAGATGCCCACAAATCGTAAACCCCTCACTAATACCTGATTAAACTGATCCACTAAATTCATTCGTCTTCCAATACCTGTGCTTCCGTCCATTCGCAGGTAGGTGAAACTGCAAATTCCCTTTCAGTTACTTCCATAAACATACCTTGGAGGATCGCTGTCGTACTTACTTGTCGTTTTGCAGCTTGCGCTCAACAATGTCCAGCATCTCACGGCTCTGACTGAATATGAGCACCTTTTCTCCTCCCTATAAAACAAAATCACTGGAACTACTACCAGTGAGTTTCTGAACTACAGCATGTTTCGCGTAGGACGAAGGGGCGTGTCGGGGGATAGGTTTGGTGCGGCGACAAACCTGTTTTTCACTAGCTGTTGACTCGAACAACCAAAAAACTATATCATATCGCTCGTTTCAGTCGTTTATTTGTTTTCCACAAGCTTTGCCGTTAGACGCAACTGGTGGAGAACGGGTGTGACGCCGCGTCATACACATCTTGCCTGACCACGCCCCCTCCTCCGCAGAGAACAACTGAGTCGACGTATATCAAACCTGTTTGCTCCACATGCTCAACAGTTTCGCCAAAACACGCATCTTACCGCTTCGACGATAATAGCCGTAGGCTTTCGTTTTATCTTCCTTCTCATCGAATTCATCTATTAATGGAATTTAACATTTTCAGGAGACTAGAAAAACGAGGGGAAAAAGGGAAAAAGGAAGAAATTTGGCAAACAAAGGGAAACTTGCAGCTCGCCAAGAGTTAGCAAGCGCTAAAAAAATTATAGATTTAAACACACTGAACCCTCTGAATACGTCGCGACCGATACATTTTTGACAGTAAAGTGAAGATAAAGTGTATTGCGATGAATGCACACAGCGCTCAATCGCTAAACCGGTTTCTAGACACAATTACAGAAAGTCGAGGTCATGAGAAAATATTATAGGGTCAAGCCTAAATGAACTGCCTGCTGTGGTAATCCCCACTATTCAGTCATGCCCTTTCGACAGCTCGAACTTTGGTCTGTCACCTGCAAACTCTTGGTGTGTCACCTACAAAATCTACCTTTTTCACGTTCCACAGCCAACCCTCACCCTCCCCCGATGTCAAAAACGGAGAATCAGCACCTCTTTGGCAAAATTCCCCATTCCGAATACGTATGGTGCCCAGCGAGTACCATCGATTTCCAGGATTAGAAGCTTGTAAACCCTTCAAGAAGCCACGTGCGCAGAGAAAAGCTAAACAAGCTGGCCGTTCGCCCACGAATGCAGCAAACGCGATAAACATATCTCAAAAAAGAAGGGAGGGATCTGAGGGACTGCCCCTCAGAATAGCTGTAGAAAAAAGTCAAATGATAAAAACAGATAAAAATTTCTGAAAAGATTTTCAGGAGTTGAAACTAACGATGACGATTCGGTCCACCGCTGACGAGATCTGGATGATTACAGAGTTTTCGCAGAGTGACCAAGCCTACGAACGCGTCTAATCGCCCTTTGAAAATAGATGCACATTCACGTGAAGCCAAATAATCGCGATACAAACGTCGTTGGTCATCAGTTATTTCGCAAAACAACACCTAAAACAGTGAAATAGAACGTGGGAGAACATAACTAGAAGAGAAGAAGAAAATGGGAAGAAACCACAAATAAAACAGAAGGGAATAATCTTCGACTGGGTCACGAGATACCCTGGCTATACCGTCAAGAGCGTTCACCCTAACAAGCACCGTGTTCACAATAGGACCTTCTCCTTTGAGAGCGAAATGTTGAGTCTAGACTAACTTTCAGCAGAAATCGTGGGAGAGAAGGATTGCATGCAGTCAACTCAGTATACAGTACGGAAGAGTTCCAGCTCCATCAAAACACTGGGGATATCATGAGTACATTCAACTACAGAAATAGCCAACCTTTTCATTCTTGTCGGGCAACTCGAGCGTCCTTTGAACATTATTCTTCAAACGACGGAGTATGAATGGACTGATGGTGTCGCTAAAACAAGCGACTCACATACCTCATTCGTGGTGATTTGGTGACTCACTTTGGTGACTTGTTAAAAAAATTATGCCGCTTTTTGAAGGGTTGTTTATTAGGTTGTCCGAAAGTTCTCAACGCTTCTGTGCTATCTATTTTTTTTTGTACAGTCATTGCTGATTAAAAACTCATTCTCTCTCGCGTCTCAGTAGTTCATTCTGAAGAGAATTTTCTGCGCTCTATCTGATGGTATAATTTGCCGTTTCCACCATTGTTTGATTGAGCCCCTTTTTCAAGAGTTTTTCAAGCATGTCAAAAGAGCAACTTCGGACGATATTCTTCTCTCAACTATAAATTGGGTGAATGCGCAGTCGAGACAGCTCGTAAAATTAAACGAGTGAAGGGGCCCACTAGTGTTGGAGAACGAAAGTACGGCAATGGTTCGAACGAAATTTCGTTCTGGAGATTCCAGCCTTGAAGATGACCTCGTACGGCGTCGATTTAAAGCAATACCTGACGAAGATTTGAAGGCATTTGTGGAGGATGACCCATCTATACAGTTCGAGAGATTGCAGAAAAGCTAGGAGTTGGTAGGTCCACGGTTGCGGATGGTCTGAAAAGCATTGGGAAGGTAAAAACTCGAACAAGTGGGTGCCCCACAATTTGAGTGACCGGCAGAAATTGCACGTCTCGAGGTTTCTTCTGCACTGCTTTTGGCGCAACAGAAACGACCCGTTTTGGACCGAATTGTCACCTGTGATGAATGGACTTCATAGATGGTAACAGGAGACGTTTCGTACAGTTGTTTGGATGGCCGGCGAAACCCCTGAGCGCAATTTCCAAAGCCGAATCCTCACGACAAAAAGGTTAAGGTCACAGTGTGGTAGTCATCGGGCTGGTGTGATCCACTATAACTTTTTGTTACCAGCCAAACCGTCCACAGCAGAGTCGCTAACTGTGGAGAAATCGACGGAAAAATTTACGTCGAAAATTGGCGTCAGCTGCAGCCAGCACCTGTCAACAGAAAGGGTCCGCGATTCTTCTGCATGACAATGCCCGCCCCATACGTTTCACAAACCACTATCCATGAAATTGAACGAATTGGTGTGAAGTTCTACCCTCATCCGCCATATTGTCCAGACCTTTCACAACCAACTATCACCTTTTCAAAACATTTTCAGAACTCCCTTGCTGGAAAGTAATTCATCAATTGGACCGAGCGCAAAAAAGCCTTCGTGGATTTCGTAAGATTCTCGACCCCACCCAGTTTTTTTCCTTTGATGGATTTCTCGACTGGTGTCACATTTACAAAAGTGTGCTGTTTCTAACGCGATTGAAATGCCGATGAGGTTAACGAAAGTTATGATTGTTTATAAGTGAAACACTCAAAAAGCTGAGAACTTTCCGGACCAACCTAATACAAAGAGTCTTTGCTTTCGCTATTGATCCTTTTATTGTACTCAGGAAACTATTATAAGAACTCAACATTCGACCCCACTTTGAAATAAGCGCTCACGGAGGACCACTGCACATTGTAAGGCAAATGGTAAGCTGCTGTCTTGTTGCATTTGCATAACCACCTTGAGTTATCGGTATTGCAAATCTCTCATGTGAATACTTCCAGCGTGTTCAGTCTTCCGACGCATAGACAAAATCCATCAAAGACCTAATTACGGATAGTATATTGGACCAACAGATAGCAGAAGTACAAATCAAACCGGGTAAAATGCCAACCATATCTCTGCGAGCGTGTTTTGGAGCGGTGTACCGCTGAGGATCAATCGACATGGAGTATGGATTTTCTTCACGGCAACAGTGATCTGAAAAATGCTCTAAATTTGATCAGAATTGAGTTACTATTGAATTGCAAGGCAGGATGAAAGGTGACTCGAGCGAACTCTTTCCGCTTAGACTACATACTTGCCAGGTTACACAAAAGGGAAAGTATGGGTACATATAATATGCTTGAGATGAGCGTGCCTCTCTTTCAGCGCGCTCTCTCCCAAACGCCGATTGTCCCAAAATTCTAGCGACCGGTCGATTTCTAAACATTCCTTTTCGCGCATCCGCCCAAAGCACCTATTCCACCGAATCGCGAAGTATAAATTTACGCTCACGGTCATATGAGCATGGCATATGCTCGTAATCATCTAATCAATGGGAAGAAATAAACAGAACGTGGTCAAAGAGATCAAACGCGGGATGACGAAATACCTGAGCAGTTGGATTGCGTATTTTATGCCCTTCGTCCAAAATAACATAGTGCCAGGCCATCGGTAATATGGATTCTTGACATTTAAGGAACGTCGAGTAGGTAGTAATCAGAACAGATCCACCTCTGAAAGGAGAAGCATTTCGCAGTAGTAATAATCGTTCATACATTGCGTCAGCGTTTTGAGCGACTACGAAAGCATAGATATCGATACAGTGTTTTGAGAGTCCCAAGCGTCCGCCAGCGACTTCAGCGTCCAGCTGATTGGCGCTCAAAACGCTCAAACGTCGAGAGACACTCAAAACGCTGCCACAAAGTATGAACGCTTCCTAAGACATTGCAGATATCGACTTTTCCAAACCAGCAAACCAGAACAGAAAGCACTTACCAGTGGGGGAAGAATGAAATAAGAAGAATAAATAGAAGAAAAAAAGGAAGAAATAAAGAGAAACTGACTTTCTATTAACACACATTTTCCTGATGAGAGCACTTCTGGGACCTTTGTGATTTCCTATGGCATGAAGGATTGCTACCTACAAATTCAACAATCAGTTGAACGAATCTGAAAAGCAGAGTGAAAAAGGCTGCATCTTAAAGGAAGAACCAACAAACCCGGCATCGCGGCATCCATCTACGAAATTCCACAAGCCACTGCCGAAGTACTGTTGATGGGCACACAATTATGGACGGTCCAAGGCCTTTGAAACTACAAAATGACTAAAGTAGGCAAACGCAACACTTTCCGTTTGAATTTCGTAGAATAATAGAACCGCAAGGCATAAATTGCAACACGTACTTCATGTAACTGTCGTTGATTTGCGATTCATCGACTGCGCGAAGGAACGCTAGCACCTATAATAGGCACCACTACAGAAATCTGTTTGGTATGCACCAGTGCGATCAAATTCACCTGTACTGTTTTTCCAAGACCCATTTCATCAGCTAAAATACCACCGACGTACTCTTCATGTAACTCCGAGAGCCACACAACACCTTCCTTCTGATATCTATAAGAAGGGACGATAACAGAGCTACTAGGCACTGAAAGAATGTTTCAAGAACCCCTCAACTCAATATATGACGAACCTTTATAATATAGAAAAAGAAGAATCGTATATGTACGCCGAGTCGTGAGAAGTCAATATCCCCTCCCCTTACCAGTGATGGGTTCAAGTTTGTAAGAATCCGCTCATACTTTGCGTCAGCGTTTCAAGCGTTTTGAGCGAGCTTAGACAGAGTATGGTATTGATTATGCGGGTGAAAACGGGCGCGGATGCTCGAAACTCTTCTTTTTCTTCTTCTCTCTTCTTTATTTGGCGGCATGAAGTATGAACGCAGCTCGCAAGCGATGGAGAGGGAACCCCGTGACAAACACCAAATCACTGGTTTCTCCTACATAAGCAAGTCTGTTTCGGCAGCATGCACAAAAACGGATTAATAAAAATATAGAAAAAATAGAGAGCAGAAAGAGAGAGAGTGGCGAACTACTGAAATCCCCTAGAGTCGTTGAATTATCATCAAAAAGTGTCATGTCAAGCACACGAGAGAGGGACCTAATGGGATCAGCTCGCAATCGTGCTTCACCAGGCGAAAAATAGAAAGCTGGGAGGTGCACTAGTGCCCTTAACTTGTAACTCATCAATGACATATCAAAGAGCCTGTCAAATCCCAAGCATCACATGGGGAGATACTCCATAACTTAAACTTACTTAAATAGGCGGTCACATACCGTCCGCGAGACTTTAAGTTTATCTCCGATTTCCTTGAACTGTTTTAGGCTCTGGTTCATCAAGTTCATCGAGGCTGCCTGAACGTTGATTGGAGCTATATGACCTTGTCTGGAACGACGTTTTTTGAACGAGGCAATATGATTTAGCTGATGTCGTGTAAACGCTTGAGCGGTCACGGAAGATGGACATCATTGCTGTCACTCAACCACGTATGAAATAACCTCTCGAGCTCTCTTGGGGACCCAGGCCGCTTCAATTTTTGCTTTCTTCTTCGGCAATCTGAAGGATAAACTAGAGTATAATGGAACACGCACTACAGTCCTAATAGGCTGTTTCTTACTGAAGAACAAATGTTCGCTGATCGCAAGCGCCTTACCTAGGTTCTGTAGGAACGATGGTCACATCATCCTCATCCTGCTTAAGTTGAGGTGCGATAGTCGTGCCGTCCTTATCCTGCATAGGTTTTGCGGCCACATCGTCCTCATTCTCTCTTTCTTCTGTTTTTGGCACGTATTCACCATCTCCATCGCTTTCTACACCAGATGTGGACAGTTCATCTCCTTTTGGCAAGTACTCAGCATCTTCGTCACTTGTTTCAATAGATGAGGAGGACTGGTCATCTGAAGAAGAAAGAGAACGACATTTATCTTCAGAAAAGCGAGCAATCGGCCTCCATTCTCCTCCCAACGGCCAAAAATTTCAATTACTTCAACATAGTTAACCCACCAGAATCTGATAAATCAGGACGAGAAGGCTCATCATCCACCTGATCTATATTTTCCGGTGATTCGCTACGGCCCCTACGCGTCTTTGCGGTGACCTGAGAAAGAAGCACTTATGAATGATCCTCTGAATCAGGAGAAAGTAACACAGTGGAAGGAGACTACCATACTTTCTCTTTGAGTGTATGGGTGTCTTGAAATGGTCCAGGTTTAGCGCTGACTCTACCATCGTCTTCGTACTCATGGAGGGTTGAAGGGTACTCAAATGGACCTTAACGATGCTAAATATACTGATACCACAACACAAACAACACACAACAGTGACTGAAGCTTCATAAGTGGTAAGGGATTTCGCGGGAATAGCGATTCGAAAATAAATACTGTGCGCAGATGTAGCACAGGTTGGTGCAGCTCCAGCGCACCTCGCTTTGCCATTTTTAGGTCAAAAAGCCATGATAAGGTAACCGTAAGTTACGTCTGTTATCAAAAAATCACAAAGTACCAGGTTCGTCGCTGACTGCGTCCTTGATTTTCCTCCGAGGTTTCCCTTCGCAGAAGAGGTCGATATTCATAGACGGTCTGCTACCATCTCCTAGCATACCCGTAAGAACCTGAAAGCCTAGCAATCAGTTACAATCTGTAAAAAAATAATTAAACTGACACACATCATTCTCTATCTGGGACACATCATGGCCTTCAATGTCGAATTCATCCTCAGACTCAGATGTCAATGGGCTGCCAGGCAAAGGGCTTCTCTCACCTGAAAACTGCCGATAACCGAAGAGAGTGTGTTGTAGGTGCATTTAAACTCCAGCTGGGAGCACGTAAGAGTGAAAACTAACCAGAATTAGTGGAGCTTGAA